TAGGGTGGGTTGTAGTTAACCCCTTATTTGTTGTGGTAATATTTTCAATTTTAAAGTATTTATCTTGTTTTAGGAAGTTACTGGATCAGGTTATGGTTGGATTAGCTGGATCTCCTACTCTGATCCATTGTTCAATCCTAGCAATCTGTAGAATATACTTCCAGCTTAAAGATATACTTCCACTGGTTAGTAACGCACCCTAGCCATCTCTGTTGAATATGCTTTTAAGTTCTTTTTTTCATAACAAAGGACCTCTTTTGTCCTCTAAGTGACAATAGAAAAAGCGAGTAACCCGACCCATTTGTACCCCCATTAGAAAATGAGATGTAAGCCTCAGGGAAGGGGACCCAGGCTGTTATCCCAGCCCGCCTAGTCCTGCGAGATGTCTAGTATGTAATTCAAAAACCAGGTGTAATACCCAGGGTAGGTTAATTCTGGTTTAATACCCAGGGTTTGTTCCTCCAGTTTTAATACCCAGGGTTATTTCATCTAGGTATAAACCAAGTTTGTTTCATCCAGGTTAAAGAACCCAGGGTTGGTTCATCCAGGTTTAATATCCAGGGCTGGTTCATCCAGGTTTCCCCTGGTTGGTTCATCCGAGTATATTATCCAGAGTTGGTTCATCAATGTTTAATACACAGGGTTGGTTCATCCAGGGTTAATACCCAGAGTTGGTTCATCAATGTTTAATACCCATGGTTGGTGTGCCATTTTCTAGGTCTAGGAAAAATGGGCGGATTTTTGGTAACTAACAATTTGGTAACTAACAATTTGGTAACTAATAATTTGGTAACTAGACAATTTGGTAACTTGAAAATTTGGTAACTAACCATTTGGTTAGGTCAGTTTAAGACGATATTTGGGTCGAGTGCTGCGGCTAGGACAGGCTAAGGGGCTGAGAACTGCAGCCTTATATAAAAAATATAATACAATGATATCTGATATGTGGGGTTAGGCATGGTTAAGACAATTTCTGGGCCGACTGCTACGGCTAGGACAAGTTGTTAGTTTAGTTACCAAATTATTAGTTACCAAATTGTTAGTTACCAAATTGTTAGTTACTAAATTGTTAGTTACCAAATTGTTAAGTTACCAAATTGTTAGTTACCAAAAATTCGCCCATCCTAGGAAAAAACCAAGAATACCAATACCTAAGATCCACAGGTTATGTATGATATTAACATCCTTGTTGTTGATCACAAGACTAAGCTAAAAATCACATGAGACCAGTTCAAAAGTTACTGTCTCTAAAAATTCAGTGGAACACAAGTAAACCAGGGTTCAAGATCACGAAAATATCGGTTCAATGTTTACCAGAGAAAAAGTCATTTAAATTAGGAGACTCACTAAGAATTCCCCTTGAACCCTTACTAGGCTTAAAATCACTGACATAGCTCAGGGCATTCAGGGGTGATGATATACAGAACATAACGAAAACGTCGCGTAACACCCAGCATGAGTTTCAAGAGCTCTAACCTCTTAAAAAGCAGCTGTAATAAAGGCTAGAAATCCCGTTCTTGCAGTTGAAGTATCAGTCTTGAGGTCCTGCGTATCTGGAACGTTTTCACACTCATTTTGTGCAGTGAAAATTTTGTCCTTCCATGCATAGTTTAGCAAATGCAATGCTTTCTTTGTCCTTATCAGTAGGCATGAACTCCGGGTTCAAGTTTACGAACTCCTCCTGCCAAGATGTGACAGTATATTGTAGAACATTTCTACTCTTTCGAATCTCTAAACCATTCTCCATATGAGGTGTGAGATGGAAGGCATATTGGATTGGTTGGTTCATCCTGGTTTAATACCCAGGGTTGGTTCATCCAGGTGTAAAACTCAGGGTTTGTTCATTCAGGTTTTATACCCAAGGTTGGTTCATCCAGGTGTAAAACTCGTGGTTGGATTAAGAATAGAAACTGGTTTACTACTCAATTTATTTTTTTTCCCCCCCCTAACACACACGTACCATCACAAATATTCCAATTTAACCTGAACTTTCTATGGAAAAAAACTAAAAATTTTGATCAACCAAATCATATGTTCAGTTTTAATCGTCAATAAATAAATTTTGTCGTTAATGTTTTCTTATTAAGGATGTGACTGAACAGGTTCTTACCAATATTCTTCTTCTTCTCACATCTTCCAGCAGAGAGGTGTCAGCAGCAGGACTTAGTTTTATTAAGGTATAATCTTTACTAGGGCTTAGTTTTTTCAAGGTAAGTTCTTTATTAGGACTTAGTTTTTCCAAGCTATGTAGATTCTATAGGAGGACTTGCTTTTTCAAGGTAGGTTCTGTATTAGGAGTTAGGACTTCGAGTTTTATCAAGGTAGGTTCTACAGTAAGATTTATCAAGGTATTATTTAAGGGGGTTGTGTAGGGTGGGTTGTAGTTAGCAAGAAAGATTTTTTGAGTTAAATACGTAGTGAATTAGAAAGCTTTTAAACTTTGATCTAATTGAAAACAATGTTTAAGGTTTTCATCACCTCTACTCCTGTCACTACTGCGGCTAGATTTCTCCCTCAAATCATGAAAGGAATTACAGATATGCCGGACGATTGCAAACGACACTGTCGGCAGAAGACAAAGTTCTTGATGGAAAGATTCTCTCGGAAGTTCGGATTTGACCTTGTCGCAAGTCTTGTTCCTAAATCCGACGTAACAACACAGAAACGACTGAGGAACATCCGTAAGGAAGTGGCTCGGCGTGCGCGTAAGGTGTCTGAAGACGGTAGTGGAGGGGACGAGGATGACCAGGGCATGAAGGGAAGACAAAAGACAATGGACGAAATGCTGGCCGATTCCTCCGACGATGAGTTTGACGACAAGGAAGAGATTAAGAATAAGCGTGGTGGTAAGAAGGGGGGAACCTGGATACAGGAAGGAGATGAAATCCTTGATCTTCTCTCCGCCTCCGCCGCACAGAAGATCTCTTCAACTAAACCAACCCAGGCGAAGGTGAAGATGGAGGATGAAACGAAGAAGAAAGCGAGAAAGTCTGATTTCAAAATATCCGCAGACGGAAAGATTATTATCACGGAGAAGAGTGGAAAGGACGAGGATGATGAAGATGATGGGCCACGAAGAGGAAATGATGAGTAAGTTTTTTTATTATTAGTTTTACTTTTTTGTGTGAAAATAATTATGTTTTCGGCGTCAGATGAATTTCACTTAGTGCTGGGGTAATTTTATCCTATGGTCATAGTTTCAAGTAAAATATGAAAATAATGTACCTAACAAACATTAATTTCCCGATTATTTAGTGCAACCGTCCCATAACGCATATTTGTCATTCCAGAAAAGTTTATTCTTGTCTGAATTTAACCTTGTACGTATGTTTAGTGATAAATCTGATGAGGAGGAGACATTTGAAAATCTTGTGTCGAGTAAGAAGAGGAAAATGGGATCTGAAGCTGGAAGTGTTAAGTCAAGGATGACAACTGCTTCTAGGTAAGCTTAGGGCCCAGGGGGTCCACTTTTTTCAAACCTAAATCCCGATTTTTTATTTATTTTTTAAATTCTACCAAGTAGGACTGGTCCATAAGGACTTCAACCCCGAACTGAAACTTTAAACTGAAAACAAATCTTCACAAATTGTAATAAAAAAACTGATTTCTGAATAACCATAATTTTGTAATTTTGTACTTCAGACAGTCCGCACCAGGAGGCGCTGAAGCTAAGAAGTATAGACCTGGTGGTTCTGGTATTCATAGGAAGCTAGATACACCCGGACAGGAATACAAGAGTAAACAGGTAGCTTTCCTTGACTACATCTTGGACTCCTTCATCATGGATTACTTGGGACTCTTTTTTGAACGCCATCTTTGACAATCTTCGATTCCATCCGGAAAGTCATCAAGGATGTTTTTGATTTTTAGTGGCTTTATTAAAATCTATAAAGTCTACTGTAACACCGATATATAGTTTGCTTGTCTGTTTGTCTGTATCAAATAAACGGCTGAACCGATCAGTCCCAATTTTTTGGGACCTCACGAGACCCAAGGAAAAGTTTATGAATGATCAAAAGTTCAAAAATTTGCCTCCAACAAAATTAAATTTTGATTAAATTTTCGAAAATTTTGAAAATCCTCGAAAATAATTTATGAAATTCGTGAACCATTTTTTTGTTTTGTTTTACAAAATTAACATGTTCACAATTGAAATAGAAGATGGGCGCGAAGCGAAGCATCCTAAAAGCCTAGTACTCTATAAAACTGATACAATCTCAACTCTCTTTCCTAAGGAGAAATATTATCCCAAATTAAGAAATTAGAATTTAAGTAATTGTTCGCTTTTAAGAATAGAAATTATTAAACTTATTTTAGTATCTATATATATAAAGTTGTAATCTCTGTTTGGATGTCTGTTTGTTTGTTTGTTTGTTTGTTTGTTTGTTTGTTTGTTTGTTTGTTTGTTTGTTTGTTTGTCAGATCATAACTCAGGAACCCCTGGACCAATTTTTCTCAAATTTTGATTTGCGAGAGCCATGGAAATTTTCTTAGCTTAGTTTTGAGATTCTAAGTTGAGTGGATCGTTAAGTATCGGGAAGAATAGCTAAAATCGTAATTTACGACCAAGTGCGGGTAAACGGCGGGAGTAACTTTGAGTAATCTGGGCAACGCTGGGTTCTCAAGCTAGTTATTAATATTACTCATGTAATTTTGCAAATATAAGTTTCAATTCTAAGATTTAGAAATCATACATATACTAAAGGAAGAATAAAACTGAATAGAAGAATCATTGTATGTGGCCTTCGTTAATCGTTTTTGATAGAATGCACAGTTATTTTTTTAATTACTAACATATTTGATAATTTATTTATTTTTCTTTTTTTTATTCTGAACTCTGATTATTTTCAGGGGCGTGGAGATGTGAAAAAGAAGGGTAAACCTGACCCCTACGCATATATTCCTATTACACACAAAACTCTGAATAAACGCAAAGCGTCCAAGTCTAAGAGCGTATTTGCTAATGTGGTAAAGGCTGCAAAGAAGGGGGCCAGCAAGGGATCAAAGTACAAGGTGAAAGAGGTGAAAAAATTGATGTAAGGAATGAAAATGTAAACTTTTCATTTTTTAAACAATAAATTTATATTTTTCTTCAGTAAATGTTCATTATCATTTCTAATGTATTTTAATCCAAGACATTTTATGTTAATAAACTTAACCAAACAAAATAAACCTGTATTATGGTTCTAGCTCCTTTGGGCTCTCCAATATAGTGGGGTTCAGATTCTTATCCTTATACTTATTGATAACAGTAGAGTAAACATTATTTCAGTTTCTTCTAAACTACAGATACTTTAAATAAAGTATAGCTAAATGCCTTTTGCAAGTCTAACCGCAACCCCATAAAGGCCAGGGGGAGACGATATTAGGGGAGAGGAGGGTTGGAGGAGAATAAAAAGGACTGAGGCCGACTAATGATATCGCTCCCATGTAACCCTGTAGATATATCGAATCGTTTTACCCAGCAGGGTAGAGACTAAGGAGTTCCATCTGGATGGTTTTGCTTAACTGTTCTAACTTCTTCTCCCATTCAGGAAGTAGTTCGATTCATAAAAAATTTCAGTTGGTTCTTGACATAGTCTATTTTCAGAATCTGTAAAATCTCGGGTGGCTTTGTTTTCAAAATCATACTTTACAGCTGATGTAAACGGTGAACGGTTTTACATTAAGATTAAATATATAATGTATATTTAATCTCTGATATAACCAGATCGGGAAATTTTTGTTTTGATACACATTACACATAATCGCTTGATCTTGATTCCACTGCAGGCCCTTTTAATTTGAGGATCAATGCTTGAACTCTTCATTTCAATTTTTTCTGCTGGGTACGGTTTCCACTGAATATCGAATAAAGATTAGATTAACAGAAGATTAAGATCAATTATTGAACTTGAGATCCACAATATAGAAGTTCCCAGCTCAGGAAACAATGAGGAAAAGATTGGTCTTGCATACACAGTCTTTGGATTGTTGTGATAATACTTTACCAAACTTTTAATCGAGTAACTTTTCTTATTACACGGAGAACCCACAAGAGATTTTCCCTGACTTACAGTTAAGACTGGGCAAGGTATAATAAATGTTAGGTAGGGGGGGG